TCTATAAACAATCTCCATTCTTCTGGGTTATAGTTTATATTTAAAGCCGCCAGTAAGCCGTTAATGTTACTGCAGAAAACCAAGTTATTCTCCATATTGAAAAATGTTTCTAAGTCTTTGTGGCTTTTACGAAAAACACATACCGAAACATCGTCTTCTAACAAGTTCCACTGCTGCAGTCTTGATCCAAGTAACTCTGCCTTACATTTTGGAAGTTCTAAATCTCTTACAAGATCATTTAATTCTGACTGTGTTATTTTGTGCGGTTGGTGGCATGACGTGCTCGGTATAAAATCAGGATCTCTTGACGTTGATGGCATATCTTCTTCCTGACGAATCGCTCGATCGCCATGATCTGATTCGTTTTCTGATTCGCAAGTGTAGGATTCTGGGGGTTTTGGAATAGGATTTTCGTCACTGTGAGGCACAGGTCTCATCGCAGATGGTATGTTTGGGTAGTTAATAACCGATTTTTTTTTCTTGGACATACCTGTGGCTTGTCCAACACAAGGTACCATGCAAAAGTAACAATCATTAATATGATTTGTAGGCTCTCTCCAAACCATTGAGACAGCAAAGCGCATAGACCGTTTTTTGCCATTTAACCAGCTCCTCAGGCTTGAAGCACATGTATTACAGCAGATGTAGGGTGCCCACTGTTTGTCTTGATAACCTAGTTTACAACCGAAATAAAGCTGATATGCCTTTGTTATTAGTGGAGTGATAGACCATCTCTGAGACGCAAAAGTCACATCACCACACACGTAACAAAACTGATCTGGATTGTTTACACACTTTCGAGACATCTTGCATGAACGCTGTCAGCCAACTGAGGAAAAAATGGCTAATATAAAACAATATAATGTACACGTATGTATAACGTAACACAATCATGCCGATTACATCATCTTTCCTTGCCGAATATAAAAATGTAGCTCGTGCATTCTTGTGAATTACAGTATATTAACACTGTCACAGCAGGAACACATATAATTAGTGTATCTCTAAAACTTGAACTATTATTGAAAAAATAAGTTTCATTTCGGTTTTAGCACATTAAAAATAGTAATATTTTGTTGATTTTATTTAGGATATTTTTTGGCTGTTGATCAGTGTAATCAGACAAATGAAAGTATACGCGGTAATAAAAAATTGATACAACTGATCGAACCAAAGACTCCTACTGACAGCTATACAATAATACAAAAAGTTTGCCAAATTCAGATAAACGATAAGGGATTATAAGATTTCGACAGGAACTGGTCAAGAATATCAAAAAAAGATTTTCAATACGCAACTTTTGGTATATCAACTCCTTTACACGAGTCCTACAAGCAGTTGAAGTTAATGATTCAACTTTGAAAACACCCTGTATATGTTAGATATTCGGTCAAGTTGGGATGTATCATTATTATTTAAAAATTGAAGCTATATTTGTCTACGATAATTAGTTATGATTTCTATTATACATTTGCAACTTAAAATTACTGGTCCACGTACAGGCAATGAATGCCTCCTTTGGACCCACTGTTTTATTTGCAGTTTGGGGTAAGTAAATATCATTTCTCATAACATACCGTGCAAGAAGCCGAACAGCACGAATACGGACGAAGCAGCGCCAAAAACCATCCTCGAAAATGAGCCCGCACCCGGCAAAACAAAATCCCCGCGCAAGGTGTCTGCGACAAATAACACGCGTCTCGGCACGCGACAGCGTCACATGCGTGGACAAGTGGCACGTGCGACGCGCGACGTGGGATGATCGCTACTGGCGAGGCGTCGCGGCGCCCGGCGTCGCGTCGGTAACGAAGCGCCGGATGCGTCGTCGGCGGGTTGAAATTTCGGCATTCGGGACGATTGCGAATAGTACGGTCGAAAATCGTGAGAACGGCAGTTTTAATTGAGTGGTGCAGTGCAGATATATTGACGAGTGGACAGAAAAAATTACACTTTTTTTATGCCGAAGCGGCCGCGCAGGCAGAAGCCTAAATGCCAGGGCGCCTCGGCTGCAATGGGGAGCTTAAAGAAACTTGGTTAATACGATTTTTGAACTGCCTTAGGATAGTTAGATAGATAGATAGATAGATGGATCTTTATTTCCAACAGGTACAATCACCCAATTACAGGAAATAGTTCAAAAAGAAAACAAGAGCAACACATAATCCTAGTATATAAAAAAACACAATCAAATTAATAATACAGCTAGAACAAAAAGCCAAAATATTAAAAAAAAAGATTAACTCTAACCGCAAGAAGGTCATTACATGCCATGGGAAATGGCAAGATAACGTTGTTTAAAGTCATTTCTAGATGAAGTATTCACATCACAAGATTCACCTAAAGAGTTGAAGTTCTCACACATAACCATGACCGACGATTTTCTCGAGATATTTGTTCGAGCTAATTCGCAGTAAAATGTCATTTGGTGACGCAAATTGCGCACAGGTACATGAAAGTTAAGCTTACTTAATATATATTCACATATGACATCATAAAGAAAATTTAAACTACTTATAACTCTCCTACTATTTAGCGACATACAGTCAAATGTATTCATGAGTACAGAATAATCACATCCTCTCTCCGGATATTCGCCTGTCCACTTGAAATGCAGAAATTTCAAAAACTTTCTTTGTATTCGCTCAATACGGCTTATATGAACCGAATAGATGGGATACCAAATTAAAGAACAACTTTCCAATTTAGATCGAACGTACGAAGAATAAAGAAGTTTCAAAACATGTAAATTGGAAAATTGTCTACTGTTTCGGATGATGAAGCCCAACATTCGGTTGGCTGATGTTGTGATATCATTTATATGATCACAAAATGACAAATTGCTATCAAAGAGAACACCGATATCTTTAATTTGATAGCACCTATTCAACTCATTCTCGCTTATTTTGTAGGACCATGTTATTGGTTCTTTCTTTCTGGTGTACGTTAATATGAAGCATTTATCTACATTAACTTCAAAATGATAAGCATTACACCAATCCAAGATAAGGTCAATGTTGCCTTTTGGATGTAATCATCATAGCTAGGTCGTTTATATATATAACAAGAACAATAGACGTCCTAAATTCGATCCTTGGGGAATCCCAGATGTTGGCGAGAAAATATCAGAGCGGTGCCCTTCATATTCCACAAATTGCACTCGATTAAATAAATACGATTTAAGCAAGCTTAGAAGACGTGCCGAAAACCCAAATCCTTGTAATTTTTTCATTAAAATGTATAAGTCTACTCGGTCAACTGCCTTCTGTAAATCCATGTAAACTACATCCGTCTGTCCTCTGCTATCAAGGTTTTCACTGATTTGACGTACAAGATTTTTTCTCTTGGAAGCCATGCTGTTCTGGTACAATTAGGTTTTTAGTGTGAATATAAATCACTTCATAAACAATAATTTCAAATAGATTTGAAAAGTTGGATACTACAACGATTGGGCGGTAATTTTTAATTAAAGCTCTATCACCCTTCTTCAGCACCGGGGTAACTCTGGATATCTTCCAGTTGTCTGGAAAGATGCCCGTCTTCAAAATAATGTTGAAGAGATGTACTAATGGTCTGAGTAGCGCATGTATGCAATCCTTCACTAAGAAGCTGGGTATTTGATCAGGGCCTATAATCAACTTATTTTTTAACTTTTTCGCCGCTTTAAGAACATCAGCTTCACATATTTGAGGTAAATCTATAAACAAGGAGTTACCACAATCCAGGATTACATTTTCACTAAGGTTTTGATGAGGAGGTGTATAAACTGTCGAAAAATACTGTTTAAATGAGTCAACAATATCTTGGGGTTTTGTTAAGGTAGTTTCATTATATTTCATCATACCAGGTAAACGGGATATTCCTTTTTTACTGTGGATAAAATTCCAAAACTGAGAAGGATCTGATAAGATATTGTTTTCTGCTGCCAAAATAAAATTACGATATTCGTTGTCAGCTTGAGTTTTTATCGTTCTTCGTAAAGAATCAAATCTTGTACGAGATGCTTCATCTCCATATCTTTTGTAGTTTTTATGTACTCGTTTTTTTTCTTTTATTTTATTTATTGTGTCTACGGAATACCATGGTGGGAGCCTACGGGTCGGAATAATTTTTTTGGGTACAGTTCGGTCGAATACTCTATACAGAGTTTGTTGCAACATTTCAGTCGCTACATTAGGATCCGTGCACTGATAAATATCACTCCAATCAATAGTCGACATTATTTCGTACATAAGGACAAAGTTTGCTTTACGGAAATTGAAAACAGTTTCAGCTTTGTTGGGGCTAAAGTTAATGGTTCTGGTAATTCTAGTGCTAATAGCGAATTGTAATGCAGGATGATGTCTATCTTCATACACAGGTCGTGTATCACTTCTTTCAATTCGACATTCAGTATTACTGAAAACGAGGTCTAAGTATCTATTGTTATAATTTGGTATAATTTTATATTGTTGGAACTCAAACATTTCTGCGAAGCTCTTTACTATTATACATTTCGAGTCGTTATCATCATAGCCATACATAGGGATGTTGAAATCACCAGCAATTATGGTCGAGCTGTTATGACTGGAATTGAAAAGAGAAAAATTGTCAAAGAATATTTCAAAGTCCTCAAGCGAAATATCCGGGGGATGTAAACAGCATATATATATATATATATATATATATATATATATATATATATATATATACATATAGTATGAAACCCTAAATGAAGTTTACCACCGACTAAATCAATCTTAGGACTACCTAACTGAATACCATCCAAATCAAGAGGCTCAAAAAGATAACAATTTTTGACAGCAATGAGTACCCCGCCTCCTTTGGATAAACGGGTATCTGCAAAATTTCTGTCCTTCCTAAATACAGTGTATTCAGTAGGAAAAACTTCGGCATTAAAAACTCCTTCATTCAACCATGTCTCAGAAAGAAAAATTATATCAAAATTACAATTCAGGCTTAAATTATCATAAAAAATGGAAGTTTTAGAGTTAAGTCCGCTAACGTTTTGGTAATAGCAGTTTATTTCACTAACATAATTGGGTGTAGAATCTAAAAATTCACTATCTTCGGAACGCCGCCAACATATTTAATCTTCAAATTGGTTTCTCCTTTATTCTTCCTTTCCTCCAGTTCAGATTTGAGAGTGTTATAGAAATTCATTTGACGTGGCGTTTTGTCAGTAGAGATGGAAATATGTTAGAATTCACTAGAGTTTCTCAACGACCGACATTTTTTTATGAGTTCACTCACCTGTTCGACATTAGCAAGCGTAACTTTTATGGGCCTTCCAATTGTCCTATTTTCATCAAATTTGCCAAGTCGTCTAATGTTTGTAACCGTAATTGAAGGTGTGACGTGGGTCAAGACTTTAACGACTACAGACTTTTCTAAAACTGCCTTATCATCTTTTGTCGCTCCGTTCTGCTCCTTCAACCCAAAAATGATTACATTGCATCTTCTATTTTGTCTTTCTGACACTTCTTGTACAATATCTTCAAACTGGCTATCAGACATCTTTGTATCGTTATTTTTTGTTGACAACGCTTTAACCTCATTTTGTAGAGCTACAATAGCTGCTTTCAAGGCATTTATGTCTCCTCCCATCTGCTCACATTTCCCACAGGTCCATGAGACTGATTTTTTTGAGTTTATGACTTGCGTTTCTGAAGTTGACAGATTGACGCATAGATGGTAAAAGCTTTTTCTGCAGACACAACAGGATAACAATAGATGAGTATCAACTACCTTCGAGCAGCAGCTACACGTTTGTGACATGTTCAAACATTAATTGGTACGCCTCTGTATATGTAATCGAGGTTATGGCATATCACAGCCGAATTAATCAGGACATAATCAATCAGCTAATGATTATGCCGTAGATTCCTTACCAACCTCTTCCAATATGACCCAATAGCACAATCCTCAGAAAGAACTATCAATTTCAGCCACAAAAACTCTTGAAAAATACTACAAACACTGTAAGAAATATAGGCGTGTCGTCTTGTCGACAGTCTTTCTTAATCAGTAGAATTATTAAAAGCCTCCTCATGCAGATTGTTTCACAAGCTCGATACCCTAGCGACAAAGGAGCGGTCGTATCGGCCAGTTCTCGACGCACGAAGTTAAACACGGCTAGGATGGAGGCCGAAGTGAGGCGGGTCTGCCTGGCGGGCACATCGCGCGACGGCTCCAAGAATGACAGGTCTGAGGAGCAAAGCCCGTTGGAATAGCGGTAGAAGAGTCCCGAGACTGTCCGTTAGAGGACACTCAGCGATCAGTCGAACAACCCTCCTCGGAACAGCATCGAGCATAGATAATGTAGTCGAGATGTCAGCACCCCAATCATGTGAACACTGCCTCAAGGCTAAGTCCTTGTACAGAGTGAGGAGGTCATGTGGAGAAAAGTACTTATCAGCCCTAAGCAAATAGCCTAGCTTTTTCCCTGCCGCTATTGACGAAATGTGCTCATGTCAGATCAAGTCTTCGGTGATTTGAACCTCGACGAGCCGAAATATTAGGAAACTACTTCTAGTACAATTTTCCGCGTAGTGCAATGGCTTCAAAAGGACGTAGTTTTTTCGGCTCTAGAAGAAAAAAAATCTCAGATTGCAGCAATTAGTACACGGCAGCCTCATTTTTTTTGAGCTCTGGTGTAAAACTGTTTGTCAGGAATGTTTGATACCTGAATATAATAGCGCACTTGTATACTAATACATATACATATATATATATATATATATATATATATATAAGAGGCGAAAGCTTTATTTTTCACATAACTGGTCTAAATCACAATGACCACGTCTCAAGTTATATATATATATATATATATATATATACAGGGTGACTTCGAAGTTGAGTCATTTATTTTAATAGTGAGTAGATCTGATCAAAAGAAATATTTTTTTCCTTTACCGTTTTTCTGGTAAAATTAAAGTAACAAAGTTATAGCCCTTTGGAAGTTTGAGTACCGCCCTGTCTCAATAATAATATTATGTGCTCCTGTTTCTCAACAACGGATATAATCCGCCTTATCGGTTCATCGCATCGGAAACAAATAAGCGAAAGAATTTGGAACGATGTTTTTACAATTACTTTATTCAGTTGTATACAGTCAGCGTCAGTCGGTAACGCGTGAGTGAATAGTGGTGTCTGTTGCGTGGCTCAAACGAAATAAAAAATGGCACATGTTTACGAAAATGCTGAACTTGTGGACATGATTCTTATTTACGCGGCATCACGGATTTATGCGGATCGGTTTCCCAATCGAGTGCAACCAACCCCTCGTGCCTTTGTTAATGTAGTACAAAGGGCTCGTGAATCAGGTGACTTAGGACCTCCAGGTGCTCCAAGACCTCACGATCAAATACAGGTCCGCACTGAAATACTTGTCGGGAGGATACTTTATAAAACAAGGTAAATTTTTTTTTTTAATTTTTTTTTTATTTTTACACACATATTTTGGTTTATCTTTCTTCTACAATCATTATCTGAAAATTAATGACTCAACTTCAAATTCACCCTGTATATATATATATATATAAAGAAAATGATCGGGCGGAGAAAGGTATATATAACAAATAGTAGGAAAATAATGGGCAAAATCCGCAAAAACGAGGAAAGTGGATTCGAGCAGAAAATAGGATAGGTAACCCGAGCGATACGTATTTTTGCTGGTTTGCTTCATCAGGCCCGAAATGAATGCACATAATGCAACTACAAAAGTAGATACACATGCTCACACATCCGGATACGGGTGTAACCTGAGGAAACGAAGATGGAGAGGAAAAAACAGCACACGAAGTCCACAACAAGAGCCAACCTACACATTGTTGTATTAAATGGCTAGAATACCTCGAATTTTCAAGGAGACATCTAACCACAACCACGCAGCCGGTTATAGCCACTTGCTGCGGTACTCCAAGCCCAAAGGATCTACAAAAAGAGATTATTTTACCTATGCTATTTTCTGCTTGAATCCACTTTCCTATATATATACAGGGTGACTTTGAAGTTGAGTCATTAATTTTCAGATAATGATTGTAGAAGAAAGATAAACCAAAATATGTGTGTAAAAATAAAAAAAAAATTAAAAAAAATTTACCTTGTTTTATAAAGTATCCTCCCGACAAGTATTTCAGTGCGGACCTGTATTTGATCGTGAGGTCTTGGAGCACCGGCATGCCGTCCATATGTGAGGTCTTAAGTCAAATGATTCACGAACCCGTTGTACTACATTAACAAAGGCACGAGGGGTTGGTTGCACTCGATTGGGAAACCGATCCGCATAAACATGTGACATTTTTTATTTCGTTTGAGCCACGCAACAGACACCACTATCCACTACCGACTGACACTGACTGTATACAACTGAATGAAATAATTGTAAAAACATCGTTCCAAATTCTTTCGCTTTTTTGTTTCCGATGCGATGAACCGATAAGGCGAATTATACCCGTTGTCGCCAAACACGAGCACATAATATTATTATTGAGACAGGGCGGTACTCAAACTTCCAAAGGGCTATAACTTTGTTACTTTAATTTTACCAGAAAAATGGTAAAGGAAAAAAACATTCCTTTTGATCAGATCTACTCACTGTTAAAATAAATGACTTAACTTCGAAGTCACCCTGTAGATTGTTGTCGTAACTAGCTAGGAGAAAGTATCTTTGATATGTCCTAGGTAACTCCACAAAAATTGCATAGTTTTACTCTTTTAACTTTAAAACTCAAGATTTCGATAGTCCATCCACCATCATCAGGAGCTAAAAACGAATTTATAAAATAGCGACTATAAGCAATTAAGTGATATTTCATTACTTACTAAGTCGGCGAGATTGTTGCTGAATTGTTATTAGATGCAAGTGGATGAGTGTACATATTAAAAATGACCAAAAAACTGGTTGTGTTAGACAAATTACTAAAAAACCATAGTCTATGTTTAAAAAAAAACACGAATAGATTTAAAAGAATTGAATATTCATTAATTTGCCGCTCAGGTTGAAGGGTCATTTTGGACTAAATCTAATATGTACTTCATTACGCAAAATTGTTGCTGCGACATAATCAAAACTAAGGACTTAGATACATTTTGCAAGAAACCGAACATATTTTTCAGTTCCATTTTAGTTGCATTTGTGACCCATGCACTTCTTTTGCGCCCCAGCTGAGTAAAATCGTTCCTAAAAGTCTCAGTTTACGTTTGATAGCCCAGTCTCCACCGTGGCCGCTAGAGCCTGTCGATTTTGGCGTTATAGTAGATGCCATTTTAACAACCGAACATCCTGCTCTCGATCGTCAGACCACAGACCACCAACCGTCTCGTGCTTATTTGCAACTCATCAGCACGGTCTAGGCTTGGCCTCAGATGGGACAACTTCCTTTCCAAGTGGCGTGTGAAGCAGAATCTTAAAGGTCTGCTTGTGTTTTCGACCAGACTATTTCAGTATTTGCTAACAATTGCGAGTTTCCCTCGGCAGCGGCGACGGGCTGATGCACCTCCACCCTCGCACTATCCCCTCTCTTGGCCTTGCGACGCGGCGGAACACGAAGACCACCGCCACCGTGGATGCTCTAACGGCAAGCTGCATTTCCAATGCATTCACCGCCACTATGATAGGGGCGCGGTGCTTGTTAATTGAAACACTTTTAGCTTTTAGTTCCTAAGCGTGGAAGTGTTCTAATCGAGAAAAAATTCTAAAGTGAGATATAATGTTTTTTGGATGATTTGTCGCCAAAATCCTTTCATTTCCGTTTTTCTCTCCATCTGTCTGCCCGCTAATTATTGGTCCATCTATAACTTGGAAGCTTACTACTACGCCAAGGACGAAAAAGCTGTGTAGCTTTTGAAAATCTATCCAGTGGCGGCAGAACTAGGGGGCGAATAGGGGTAAAAAATTGAAATAGCTCAACCTTTGTTTTTTAATGTTTGAGAGGATCTTGATCTATATATAGAAATCTTGAGGTGTGATAAATTGAGGGTTGTAGGGGGTGGGAATGGGTATATTTTTTTGACAGAGCTATGTAATACGCCTCCAACTATGGTAATCCTACGCAAATTTTAGACTAATGTCACTTACTATATATACTAAGTGACATATAAATCCGAACACCCAGTTTAAATGGTTTTATTTTAATTATTTTGTATAAGTACTTAATGAAGCATAATAAGTAAATGATAAAAATTTCAAAATGATTGCACTGCTTTAAAGCCCTTTGATCTTTAATAATGTGTGGATGCACCCTGATGTGCTACGCATTCTCCAACGCGCCTAGGCATGCTTCTGATCAGGTGGTCAATGTCCTCCTGTGGTATCTCATTCCAGGCAACCACCAACTCCTTTCGAAGTGCTTCTAGAGTCTGAGGTGGACGTTGCAAATTGAGCAATCTCCTACCCATCATATCCCACACGTGCTCAATTGGGGATAACTCGTGAGATCTTGGTGGCCATGGTAACAATGTGACATCATTATGTTGAAAGAAATCTATTGTGACTCTTGCAACATGTGGTCGGGCATTATCTTGTTGGAAAGTTGGATCTGCCAGGGTGTCAAGATAGGGTAAAAGATGGGGTTCTAGAATATCGTGGATATAACGCTGCGCGTTCATGTTACCTCTGATGAAGATTAAAGGTGACCTGGAACCATAAGCTATAGCACCCCAAACCATAACTCCAACAGTGTGATTAACATGTCCTTCAACAAAAAACTGTGGATTCCTCATTTCACCACGTCGCCTTCTAACCCTGGCACGACCATCATGCATGCCTAAACAAAATGGAGATTCGTCACTAAAGACAATACTGTTCCATTCCTGATCCCAGAGTGACCGTTGTCTGCACCACTCAAGGCGATTACGTCGGTGTTCTCGAGTTAAAGGGAGGACCCAGTGTGGCCGGTATGAAAACAAGCCAAAACTTCTCATTCGTCGGTAAACACTTCGCATGCCAATATGTCTTCCGTGTTCTGCAAACCATTCATTTGAAATGGACCTGGTAGTGGAGAAACGGTCCCTTAAGGCCAATAATCTTAGGCGGCGCTCTTCACGGTCTGTTGTTCTACGGCGGCGTCCAGTGCCCCTTGCTCTTTGCGTACGGCCTTCTCGAAGCCATGCCTGACAACACCTAACCACAGTGTCTACACTTCTTTGCACTCTAACTTCAATTGTCCGAAAAGAAAGTCCAGCTTCCCGAAGTCCCATTATACGGCCCCTATCAAACTCACTAAGTTGACGAAATCGTACAGGTCTCCGTACTCTAGGCATCGTAACCGATCGTAAAGGATGTCAAGAACCAAAATCCGCCAACGTT